CGATTGGTAAATATTCAGAGTTTACAACCTGAGAAATTAGAGAATCATTAATAAAAAAAAAGTAATCAATGCGAGAAAAAGATTCATGTATGTGAGAAAAGAAAGAATATTTCCTCACTGTAGGGTTTAAATACCTCCACGGATCAATGTAACCATTCTGAACCATAAACTCAGAATACTTTGCCATCGCAGAGGGAGCCTTTTCAACAGCGCTAGATTTGTCCAAGGCTGGGTCAATAACACAGTTCAAATCTCCCGCAATTATCAAGAGATGTGTGTTCAAAGCAGGAAGTTTTGACAACAAATTCTGAGCAAAAGTAGCATTATCAAAATTTGGGGCATATACATTCACCTAAACTACTGGCGTCTGCGAAATTTTCCCTTCCACAATCACATATCTACCATTTACATCAGAAAGGACATTATCAAACGAAAAGGGCACAAGGTTACTGATCAGGATAGAAACTCCCCTGGACTGGGAGTCAAATTGGAGTGGAACATATGCGATGTCCAGTGAGCTTGGAGTCTGCGTTGATCCCTGAAACGGAGATGGGTTTCCTGAAGAAATGCAATATCAGGTTTTTGTAGTTTTAAATGTGTCAAAATCTTGGACCTCTTAACGGGACCGTTCAGACCCTTCACATTCCAACTTAGGAATCTGAACGAGCTTCAGGTATTTTCCATTAATTTAGATTAATACAGAGTGGAGTACAGAGAGGTTGATATGAATAGGGAAAAAAGAAAAAGAGAAAAAAGAAAGAAAAAAAGGGGGGGGGGGAACAAGAAAGGGAAGAACAAAAAAAACCAAAAAAAACAGCACCCCCCCACACACACACACACACATACATACATACATACAACAACACAACCCCCCTCCCCCACCCACCCACACACAGCAAACCACCCCTCCCTCCCCCACCCTACTCTGTGTGAAGTCACTCCCGAGCATAAAGGGTGCCTCATTCACCGCATATCACAGGCAACCGACAGATTTACACGGAAACTGATATAGTTGCCCACGCGCACAGTCCTACAGTCACATGACCGGTATTAATAAATCGGTTAACAGTCATGTAGACAGATTAAGATGGAGGATATCGTTCATTAAACCATCGTTGTGCTTTTTGGGGACAGTCGAACTGCATCGTCTCATCACCGAGGTCCACTCGAAGGCGAGCAGGGTATCTGAGAGAAGACCGCACATTTCTCTCACGCAGGCTGTTTCTCACCACAGAGAAGGCCGCCTTCCTTTTAGCGACGCTGGAGCTGAAGTCAGGAAAGAGGAAAACCTTGCGGCCCTGATGGAAAAGTTGATCCCAATTCCCGCGTTGAATAACTTTTTCCCTGTCATGAAGATAGTGGAACCTCACAATGATGACTCTGGACCTCTGTTTCTCCCGCTGCTCCTCCGAGGACATGGGGCCGATACGGTGTGCTCTATCCAGCAATGGAGCGGTCAGAAAGATATCCGATCCGAGGACATCCTGGAAAAACTTAGACATAAACGTGACCGGATCGCTCTCTTCTTCTCGCTCCGGAATACCGATGACCCGGAGATTGCAGCTCCGTGAACGGGACTCCAGGTCCTACACTTTATCTGTGAGGTGTTTGTTAGCTGAAGCCAGCTGTAGCACGGTCTCTTCCAGCGTTACAATTCGGTCACTGTAATCATTCAGGTGTTGCTCAAGCTCGTCAATACGCCGTCCTTGTGACTCAATACCTAATTTAAAACTTTCAAAAGACGCGATAACTGGGTCCAGAGCCGAGTTCATAGCCGCTGTCACCTGCGCTGCGATGGTAGAAGTCAGCTCCGTGATTACAGTTGCACGGAGATTTTCTAAGTCCAGAGGGAGCTTGTCGCCATGACTCGCCGTGCTCGGTGTAGATTTAAGTTTGCGTTGTCTTTCAGACGCCATAACTCCCTTCTGGTTATAAATGTAAACCAAGTACTTTAACACAAAGGCACTAAATGCCTCTGAAAAGACAGAAAAGGTTCAGGTTGCCTGAAAAGCAGAATTAAAAGAGGAAATACTCGGGAGCTCCCTTCACGCGTGCCTTCTCCCTCACATTCTCAACCGGAACTCCCGTCTGACTGTTTAATATAATCACAATATGTCATGCTGTAATGTATGTTCTGGCTGTAAATACACACACACACACACACACACACACACACTGTGGAATGTCATTCGAGGACAAAATTAAATACATAACAGACAACATGGGAGGAGATGTGTCTCAATCAGAGACATTTATCTATAGGAGTGAAATATTTATGTATAAAATTCTGAATGAAGTTAACATTTGTCTATAAGTGTAGCAGATGATCTTTCACCCCGTGAACATGTTTTCTTTACAGCAGAGCGCATCATCACCTCCATTTAGTGTCTCGTTCATTTGCACTCGAGTATCCATCAGCGCTGGATATAAAACAATAAAACTGTAAAAGAACCAGATGCACTGGATCAAGTGCTGTTCTATCGGCTGCTGAATAATGAGTGTGTTGCAGAAATGAATCTGATAATAACGTCACAAATCTGAAGCAGCTGCGTAACCCGACTCTGAACACGAGGAACTTCCCTCGCGTAAATATTCTGGGAATAACTCTGTATCTGTTAAGCAAAAATGTCAAAAAGTGAGGCTAATGAAGGTTAGAGGACGAATTATACACACACACACACACACACACACACACACACACACACACAGTGCAGAATAAAGATGAAGTTTCATCTCTAACAGAGCAGGAGTGTGTGAAGGACAGGACATTCTCTCACCTTGTTCAGAAAGCCTTTTAACACACTCGCTGCTTTAACTGACAACGAGCGTGGAATACGGATCGGCTTCTCCAAAATCACTGAGAGAGAGACAGAGAGAGACAGAGAGAAGGAGACAGGGATAGAGAGACAGACAGTAAGAAAGACAGACAGGGATAGAGAGACAGTCAGACAGACAGACAGACAGAGAGAGAAAGAAAAATAGTGAGTCATTTCTGTCAGTGCTGCAGTGGTGTTGTAGGCAGGAAGGTGGGAGGCTCTAAACACACACACACACACACACACACACACACACACACATTTTTTATTGTACTGAATGAACTATTTCAGTCTGTTTTATAACAGTGTAAATAAATCTCTCTGCATTTTTGGAGTAAGATTATAGACAACTCTCTATCTCTTCATAATCTCTGTCTGGAAGGATTAGAACACAGAGGAGTGTGTGTGTGTGTGTGTGTGTGTGTGTGTGTGTGTGTGTGTGTGTGTGTGTTGTGTGTGTGTGTGTGTGTGTGTGTGTGTGTGTGTGTGTGTGTGTGTGTATGTGTGTGTGTGTGTCTGTGTGTGTATACTTTACTGCAGCGTATGGGAGAACTGTATAGCAGGAGTGAGGAATGGTTATGGCTACAAGGCAAGTTACAGAGGTGTGTGTGTGTATGTGTGTGTGTGTGTGTGTGTGTGTGTGTGTGTGTGTGTGTGTGTGTGTGTGTGTGTGTGTGTGTGTGTGTGTGTGTGTGTGTGTGTATGTGTGTGTGTGTGTGTGTGTGTGTGTGTGTGTGTGTGTGTGTGTGTGTGTGTGTGTGTGTGTGTGTGTGTGTGTGTGTGTGTGTGTGTGTGTGTGTGTGTGTGTGTGTGTGTGTGTGCAACAGCATGCTACCCTCTCAGTTGGGGTGAACAAACAGAGCAGCAGATGACCATGTCAGCATGGGAAGAGTGTGTGCGTGTGTGTGTGTGTGTGTGTGTGTGTGTGTCCTTGTGCATGTGATGAAGGAATTTTCCTCACGTGCCAAAACACTCCACACACTCTTCACCTCCCTTATATGGTAACAGCTTCCTGTTCTCGTTAACACTCCTGCTTAATTCTAATTAGATTCCATATTTAGTTGTGACTTCCTGTTCTACAGTTAGTGCTTTATGCAAATGAAAAGCACTACAAACATCCAGGTACTAGATAATATCCTACAGAGTGTATGGTATGTAAGCATGTCGTACATTTTGTTTGTGTGTGTCTGTGTGTGTGTGTGTGTGTGTGTGTGTGTGTGTGTGTGTGTGTGTGTGTGTGTGTGTGTGTGTGTGTGTGTGTGTGTGTGTGTGTCTCACCCTGGAAGAGATACTCTTCTGTGTTCATATCTGGATTGTCAGTCATAATGTCAAACGGAGATCTACCAGCCATCATCTCAAACATCAGCACCCCAAGAGCCCACCAGTCCACACTGAACCCTGAGAGAGAGACAGACGGACAGAGAGACAGGGAGAGAGAGAGAGACAGGTAGACTGCGAGAGAGATTTATACTATTATACTACTATTTAAACTAATGTGCTATAATGTAATTATGTGAAATATACTGTTGAGGTGCGTGATAGGTCTCATGCGTGTGTTGAGTGATTTGTATTTATTGCGTACCGTAATCTTCTCCTCGCAGGATTTCAGGTGCAATGTAGTTCGGCGTCCCACAAAAAGTGCTGGTTGTGTCCCCGGGTCTGATCCCCTCCTGAAACGAGACCTCAGTGGCCTTTAATTCCACTCAGAAAGAACTTTAGGAGATTAAGGTGATTAAAACCCTTTATATCCCTGTATCATAAACACCTCCTTTGTGAATTGTGGGCTAGTGGGAACCTCAGGGCTAGGTCAGCAGGAGGTTAATGCTCCCAACAGGGCCACACTTTATGAGCAGATCTGAGTGACGAGGTCCGACATAGAGCTATTCTAAACATCTCCATGAAGGGTACCAAGAAGAATAAGAATAAGTGTACCTGCCCAGATTATTGGAGTCAGGTCTGGAAATGGTGTCATGGAGCCATCTTGTGGGATCACACTGCGAGATGCAGGATGGGAGTCAAGTGTGATGCTAGTTGGGAAGCAGGCAGGTGACAGATAGTCTTAGATGGACTAGACCTTTGAAATGGAGACTGGTTACTGGAATGTGGAATATCAGTTTACCAGCAGGGAAAGAGCATGAGCTAGAGCATGAGATGGAAGGGACTAGTCTGGACTAGATTATAGGG